TGTGGAAAAACAATGCTGAGGATGTCATGGTTTCCTTCCACAGTGTCCTTTTGGGAAGATTCTTATCTTCACTACTGAGAAGATCAGTACTTCTCTTGAATGTTGGGGCTGTTTTTTGCCTCATGGATGTTGGAATCGTATATATAATGATGTTTCTTTTCTTGTGTTGAAGGCAAAGCATAGAACCATTTGGTGGTTCCCTACATAGCCAGGCTGAGGGCCCCTCCTCTCCCAAGCTCATCCCCGTCCCTCTCCTTGTATTACTTTGCACCATTCAAAATTTTGTGCTCTTTTGTTGTGTTTTGGTCATCCTTGTAAACTCCCTTATGTTGTTCTCTGGAATAAGGTAGGAAACACATATTTAAGCAAATAAATATTTATCTGGAGAGGAATTAGACTAATTTTGTGTGATCCAAATGGGCAAAATGAGGATTCTTTCCTCCCTTCCTCCCTCCATTCCTTCCTTTCTTCTTCCTTCTTTGCTCCTTCCTTCCAACATATGTCAACTATCTGGAACTGAACTGGGAGACTTCGAGAGATAGAAGAGGCAGCTTTAAGCTATTTAAGAAAGGATTTTACAATGCTCAGAACTGCCCACAGATAAAGAGTTATGACTTGCACCAGAACTTCATAATTTACAAAGCACTTCTGCACACATATGATTTTGTTTTACCTTCATAGCAATGCTCAGTTGTAGGTGTTATTTATTATCTTCATTGATCAGAGTCTGAGCTTTAACGAGAATCTTAGCTAAGACAACTCAGCTGCTAAATGGGGGAGGCAGGGATTGCCTTCTGGTTTGTTTGCCCTTTCCATGACCTGATACTCCCCACCACCTGTCCCTCCTCTACTCCCTGTGTGGTGGGCATACCCTGTCAGTCTGAATGTGCTCCATTTCACTCTGACATCATTTTTACCTAAAATGTGAATAACATTTCATGTAGTGCTGTTTCTGTTTTTATTCTCTGTGATTTAAAAGACAACAGAAATATGCCAAACATGTTTCCGCTTTCACGCTTCAAAAGTTTTGCTTCAGAAGACAGAATCCTCCGTAGAGGGGCCATATGCACACTGGTTGGGAAACAGGTGGGTCAGTGTGCCCATCACTCAACACTCCCATCAGATTCAGCACATCGGTTTTGAGTCACCACACACCACCACCTCCACCTGCGAGGTGAGCTCTAGTTTGCTCTTTATGTATGTGAAGATCATGCATTATCTTAGGGAAAGCAGAACAGTATGTTCTAGAACAAAGCTAGTACTTGTCACAGCATGCCCCACCAACAACTGTTAAGGCACTTCCTTCTCCAAAACCAATATGAACTTGGAGAGCATTATTATTTGTGTGTGTGTGTGTATGTGTGTGTGTGTATGTCGGGGAAGACTCCTCACCGTCCCTATTTAGCATGAAGAAGCAAACTTTTCTAAGATATTAATTTGTTTAAAGAAGGAGTACTGGATCATCTCTTGTTATCCTTCCTTAAACTCCTTTTATCTTGTTGAAATCCCTCAAACATTATGGCTTATGGATGGTACACTTCCATAGCTCCTAGAGAGATGCCATTTCCCCCTATTTTTATGGTTCGCTGGTCATTTCAGTGGGCCCTTGAATGTAAGCCTATGTGTGTAGTGTCTCAAGCAGGGCAAGTCAGGTTGTGCTGTGGTAACAATATACCTCAATAAAACAAAGATTTATTCCTTGCCTGGGTTCACTCTAGGTCATCTGGGGGTTCTGTTCCTCATCGTTTTTACTTTGGGACCCAGGCTGATGGAGCAACCCTACCTAAGTGGCGCTGGTTGCTGTGGCAGATGGAAGAAGTGTCACAACTTCTGCACCAGATCCTAAGATTTCAAACTTTCAAAACAAGTCACTTGGTCACACCTCACTTCAAGGTGCACTGAAATGCAAACCCACCATGTGCCTGGATAAGGAACCCAAAATAGTTGGTACAGTGAGTTAGATCCCTGTGCTATACTTGAATCTTATCTGGAAACATCATCATTTATATTTTAAATGTAAATGTAAAGTTTTATTAGGGTTTTGGGATCTTGAGACTAAATCTGCCACTTATTGCCTTGTACTTTTGGATAGGTCCCTTACCCCTCTTCGGAGTCCAAATTCCTTTATCTTAAACATTGTAGTTATAGCCTCTGGTCTGTCTACCTTTGTAGGATCATTGGTGAGTTTATCAGTGAGATACTATATATGAAAATATTCTGAAATGTGAAAAAAGCTTTATAGATAAAGATTGTTCCTATTCTTACCATATGCCACTTTTGGGTAGAATGATAATTCTAACTCCTATCATTTAGATTAAGAAGAAATACACCTATTTTGAAAACAGGCACCCTTTCTGCAAATGATTCTATTGGTTCTACCCAAATGTCAAGAACCATTCAAAAGGAATGTACAACAACAACAATAATAAAACATTAATGCAGAACACACGGGGTCTGAACTCATGGGTCACTTTGTCTTTAGACACTTGTAGGAATATCTTTAATCAGACAAAGAAGGATTGTTTCTGTCCTTTGCTGGCCTTCTATAAGTTAGCAGGTAGAAGAGTGATCATTAGAGAAGACAACACAGAACTCTAAACACCATAGATTGTGAATGGATTAAGATTTCGTGGGAGGTCTGAGGAATTCATTCCATATCATTCCCATTTTTCATGGCAGTTCATGATGATCTTCTTTGGGGCACATTGAGCATGTATGCTCTTCTTAGGTTAACAAGACAATTCCATTTACCCCAAATTTCACAGGACACCATGGAAGGTAGACCTTTAGGCCTCCAAGAGCCTATATTGGGCACATATCTCCAAGCGGATAGTACATATGCTTACAAAAGCTGGTTCTTTGTTCTTGGCTTTTTCATTCACTAAACACTAATTAAACACCTATAAGGTGTCAAGCACTGTGCTGGTGATCTAGCTAGTATAGATGCAAAATTAATAAGACCCAGTCTGCCTTTGGGTAGTTCACAATCAAATGAAGGAGACAATAATACAAGTAATGATTACTTACAATACGTTAGGGATGTCCAGAAGCAGCTTAGAATACAATAAATATTGAATGATCTTATGTAATATCTCTGCTTAAACCTTTTCAAGTCTTCCTGTAGTCTTTTGATTTCCTCCTGACTTCAGTATTTAATGAAGAATCATTCTGTGTAGTTTGGGGTTGAGGGACTCAAAGAATATCCTTGGGTCTGTGACCCAAGGCTTTCTTTATTACTCCTAAATACTTACAGTATCTACTTAGATCAGAAAGGATACCCCACTTCTTTTCCTCATTAGCTCTCACTTGGACTGTTACTGTGGTTTCTTATCTGGTCTCCTTGCCTCCTGACTCTTCCCTCATTTTAATTGTTCATAACCCCATATCCTAAGTTCATGACCAGCCACATAATGTGAAGGTCACAAGACAAGATGAAAATGCACGGACTCATATTCAAAATCACTGAAACTTTCAACACAACAGCAGTGCATTACACCAGGCATGGGACCCTTCTATGCTTGGGGTTCTATGTGACTGCATAGTTTGCATAGCCATGAAGCTGATCTTGCCTGAGTTCAACTCCTTTTTTTTTTGTTTTTAAAGATTTTATTTATTTATTTATTTATTTATTTATTTATTTGAAAGAGAGAGGCAGAAGGGGAGGGAGAGGGAGGCAGAAAGACTCTCAAGCATATTCTGTGCTGAACGCAGAGCCTGATGTAGGGCTTGATCTCCCAAACCCGAGATCATGATCTGAGCTGAAACCAAGAGTCGGATGCTTAACTGACTGAGCCACCCAGGTGCCCTGAGTTCAATTCTTTTAAAGTATAGTTTTGGTCATGGTAAGTCCTTGCTCAAAAACTTTCAACAGCTCCACAGTGTTTAAAGTTGTAACTTTAAGGACCTCTAACTAAGTCTAACTTGCAGTTGGTGACAGAGGTAAAGATAATTTTGTGAACCCCTGAACTTTCTAATGGGGGATACAAATTTCACAAGGAGAAGCCCTGGGTGACCCAGACCTTATACTCCATTGGTCAACTGAGTCCAGAAAGGCCTGAGAAGTAAAAAGAGAACAAAGAATGTTGTCGTCCCTAGACAGGTGTCTCAGGGGAGAGCTGCATACAGGTGTGACCTGGAGAGACAGCAAAGAAAGGCAGTCTATGCCTTTAGTCTTTGCACATTATGAAATCTGTGGGAAGAAAGAGGACACTTTTGGTATCACAAATATCATTTCCATCTAACTGAATTCGTTCATCACTACATTAAAAAAAAGCTGATGCAATTGAAAAGTGAGTTAAAATGAATCCATCTTCCCACAAAAACAGCCTGGTGTATGTGTGTGTGTGTGTGTGTGTGTGTTGATGTAGATCTCATTTTAAAGAAAAAATAAGTCCTGGCTTCAAGCAAACCAGAGGCTTATTTCATATGACAGCCTCCTTGCAGACAGCTGATGGTTCCAGCACATGGAATTACTTATAACTAAAGCCTCTGACTAAAGATGAGGATGTGGCACTCCATTATCATCCTCTTTTCTGAGATTTAAAGACCTCTTTAGAACATAAACCAACGCCAGTTTTTATTTTAACAAATCAGTATCTTCATGGGCTTACTCTTCCCCATTTGGCAACATCCCAGAGCCCTCCTGTGACCATGAAGGTTGTCATATATGTGCTGGATACAGCCAGCTTGAAAGAGTATGTCTTCTTTCACAAACTCTAGAAAAGGCAAGGGCATTATTCATTTAGAACTGTGAAAACTAGACATTCTTCCCTCAATATCTCTGTTTGGATCAGTATTGCATTAGTTGTCTATTGCTGTGTTACAAGTTACTGCAAATTTAGTGGCTTAAAATGATGCACAGTTATTAATTCAGTTTCTGTGTCAAGAGTCTGGGCACAGTTTAGCCAATTCCTCTGTTTTAGGGTTCGTCACAAGGCTGCAATCAAGTTGCCCACTGGGGTTGTGGTCTCATGTGAAAGCTCACATGGGGAAAGAGTCACTTCTAAGCTTATTCAGGTTGCTGGCAAAATTCAGTTCCTGGAGGACCATTTGACTGAGTGCCTCAGGTTCCTCATAGCTGTTGGCTGGAGGCTGCCCTGAGTTCTTTGCCATGTGGACCTCTCCAACATGGCCACTTACTTCATCAAAGTTTGCAAGCTGAGAAAACAACAAGAATCTGTTAGCAAGACAGATATTATAATAATCTTATAGGCGACAGCTCATCATCTCTGTACTCTATTGGCCATCCCACTCTCAAAGGGAGGGGACTACACAGGACATGTGAATACCAGGGGGTGGAGATCATTGGGAACCATCTGGAATCAGCTCACCACAAGGATGCAGTCTCTGCTTGAGGGAATCACAGTAATATTCTCTTATAAAGAATGTGCTGCATTTTCCAGAGTTTTAAAAATTCTTGTGGATAGGTTCAGCAGACAAAGTATATCCTTGGAGAAACTATGATGTCCCAGTGACCAATTTATGTCTGTATTTCAGCTAATTTTCTCATCTTTCCCATAAAACATTATTTTCCATTCTCTCCAAAGAATCTCTTTTCTCTCATACCCCCTTTCATCATAAGCTAATGGAAGAACTGTCTGGTCAAATTACAACCAGGGAAGAGCTCAGATTCCTTGAGGTTGAACAGAATAGCCTAGAATTAGCTGGTGGGCCATGTTGTGTCTGCAAGGCAGCCTTCTGACCTTGGCTTTTCTCAGTTTCACTATTTCTCTTTCATGTTTATGAGGCCCTGAATCAGACTCCCACACCATTTCCAGAGCTCTTTCCTAGTAGAGTTGTCATGACAAAGCATTTTTAGGGAATTCCATGCTTTATCCTCTGGAATCTTAAAACCTATTGGATCTGGTCCCACCAGTTTTCCTTGTAGACATTGCTAAAAGTTGCAGATGACATTCTGCAACTTACATTTATAATTCTGTAATTTCTGTTATATTTGTCATTGTTGATGACAAATATAAAGCACCTATATGTCTTTTTCAAGTGGGTAGCAATCTCAGGAATTAGAACATTGTTGTTGTGGGTGTTCTTTTTGGTCACCAAAATGTAGTAAACTAATTAATTCAATCATTCATTCACAGAGTAACCTTCATTCATTCAAGAATGGTCATGGCTGCTGGTGACAAATGCCCTTGTTGGTCCTTGCTCTCCTCACTCTTCATGGCATTTCCTCTTAGCATACACTGTGCTTACCTCTCCTGGAAATAGAAAGTATTTTCTCTCTAGTGCCTCCTAGGGTCCTAGCTGACTCAGAACTAATATTCCTTGTGGCTGAACATAGAGTCAAGGGCAATTCTTAGGTTTAGTCAAATCATCAGCTTCTTCTGCATGTTCTGTTGGGGACTCAGGTGCTATCTAGACCTGCCTACATTGGGTCAGGCCCAAGAGTATATAAGGTTTCTCCTTTCATGACCTACTTAGGGGTAGCAGATGGAGAGGGGGAGGAGATAAGAGGGATGTCAGGAGTCTAAAGGCTAGAGAAGATGATTAGAGTCTTTTAAAAGGTAAGATGGTAAATTTTGGAGCCTGTGAGAAGGCCTAGAGGTAGTTCTCAAGCAGGTTAGTGTACATTAGAATCACCTGGGGAAAGTTTTTTTTAATGCAAATTATTTGTCTCCCTCCTCAGATATTTTGATTGGGGTGGGGGAGGTCTAAATATGGCCTAGGAGTCTGCATTTGCACTTAGCATTCCTCACAATTATGATGCTGAAGGCCTACAAAGCTTCATGTAGAAACAGTGGGATCTTTGCAAAATAGATCACATGTAAAACTGTAAGGAAAAAAATCCGAGGAATGAATTTACTATTTGTTTTTCCCTTCATGGATTTCAGAAATATAATCACAAACACAATACAATCTACTTATTATATTTGACCAGAGGGGGAATGATTGCAATGTTTATTAGCTGAGGGAAGCCTAAAAGCTGAAATTAAACCAA